ACAACTACAACTACAACTACAACTACAACTACAACTACAACTACAACTACAACTACAACTACAACTACAACTACTACTACTACAACAACTACTACTACTACTACTACTACTACTACTACTACTACTTACTACACCTACCTGCAGCACAAGGTCCACTGCTACTACCCTAGTTTGGGCGGCTCTTGCTTCTGCCATGTAGGCCTCAGCTGCAGCAAGCGCGTGCAAGCTTATCTATGCTAAGCGACGTATGTCTCGGTCTCGGACCAGATAACCCGTATCCCCAGCATAGGTCCAGCCATGAAGCCAAAACCCGAAAGCCCTGGGCAGGACAAAGACATGGCCCTCTTGGTTTACGAGGCAGCGCTTGATATCTATGATTATGACCACCTTCCAGGTCCTCAAAGAGTGGTCGTGTCTACACTGTCTACATATAGTGCAAATGAGTCGGCGTCGTGCGTTCTGAATTCATCTGACAATCAAATATGCCGCTGGCGTAAACCCAGTCCAAGATATACACAGCATACTAAGCTGAGATTGGTTTATGACTATTCGCATCCCCGCGGGCAGGGAAGACAAAGTCATCACAGTGAATGCTTCCCCACGCTTTGCAGTCCATTGCCATATCATTCTCCGCAAGGCCTGGATGCTAGACCACCACGCGTCCGTTGCAGCACGTTTGATTGCATACATCCTCAAGCACCGGAACCCACAGCCTAAATCCTTGAACACAGTACCCCAAATGCCTGAACTCCCAAACCTAACTGAGCTTGGCCCATGGAGTGCCAAGGCAGGATCACATCCCTGATTTGCTCAAATCTCCCTCCTCGTAAGCTTTGGCTCCAGTGAAGTAGCCAGCAAGCTGGCACGGTCATGTAAGGGCATTTGAATCTGGGTTGTACTTCTGCCATGTGTTTTTTTGTGTGAGCCATCTTTCTAGAGCGGCTTTGCAAGGTTTTTAAGGTGAAGCTGAAGCCGACACAGTAAACTCCACGAACAGGCTTCTAGAGGCTGCAGGGTTAAGGATTTCCACTAGCTTCGTGCTGTGCACGTGGCACGCTTGATCTGTTATGGATGCCGTCCCGTCTTTGGCTGTGCCTCAGTAGAAACACGAGGGGTGCTGGGCCGTGACTGGTTGCAGCTTGCAGAGGGAGTCGGGAGATCGAGTAAGTGTGTGAGTGAAATTTGCGCAGCGTATCGCTGTGAATCCGAGAGGTATGGCGTAGGTGCTGCGTCGAAACAGAGTCTTCCCGCAAAGCTATGAAGCAGCAGCACAAGTTTTGTTATGGCATCGTGCGCCTGAGCCCGAACAGAGCACCCGAAGTGCGTAGCAATGCAATTGGACGGCGACCCTACCGAGACCACGAAGCCACGGACCAATTGCTCGGAATTCAAATTAGTAAGAAGCAAGCCACGGCCCTAAATCAAAAACCATGGACGGACTCTTTAGCCATCTTTTCAAACACTCGGCTCTGTTGGGATGCCTGGCACAGACCTGCATGGCGAGGCAGAGAAGGTAGCGAACATCCTATGGTTCAACGGTCGGGGGATGATATGGGTGGTGCGAGTCTTGCTTTGATGGTGGTTGTCTTTCTTTTTATCGCCAGCACCATCAGGGTTGCTTCACCCGGGAACACGAATTGGGGAAGGGTCTTTAGGGTTTAAGGTTGTAGGGTTTGGGGTTTAAGGCACAGGGATTACATTTGTGAGTTTAAGTTTCGGGTTTGACGTTGAAAGTTTGGCTGAAGGGCCTTTGGGTTAAAAGGTTTCAGCGTTGCGCCGCCATCATCAACAGCCATGCTCCTAACCTGAATGGCAGTCCCTACAAGCATTGCTGCTGATCGGTTTTTGGGGACCGGATCCTGGAAGTTCGCTCCCGCCGCTTCGGGGTGGGCGATTTTCCTGGAAGCATTGGCAGCTGAGCCTTGGGTGTGAAACCAAGACTGGCATGATCGGCAGACGCCAGTTGAGCCCAAGCCTTTACTGTCATGATCGGCAGAAGCAGCGAGCTTCGCCTAGGATGACACGCGCAAACCGCGAAGGCTTTTGGGTTCTGCGCAGAAAGGCGCTTTGTGGCAATATGGCTACCGCAATCACTGGTCCTGGGACTCAAGGGCTCAGTGGAACGGAATTGTTTTTGAGGCTTGTCATGGTTCACAGGAAGATGGTGAGGATGATCAAGGGCTCAGGCTCGCATTCAGATTAGCACCCTTCGCATGAGGCGGCGGGTAACGAGGGCGAGGCTTGGGGTGGTAACCGACGGGCCTCATGGAATTCTTCCGGGGCATGGACAGGCGAATCTACTACCAGGGCGACGACTTCAGCCGGGGATGGTAGTTCGGGCCAAGATGCCTCTGCACCAAAGGGTTCCTTCAGCGAGTAGATGGCAGTTCCCCAGTTTCGACGTTGGCAGCACAGGAAAAGACCTAGGTTTGAGCGTCGGCTCTTACTTGCGACAAGTGGATGCCTGGGTCAAGGTCACGAGGACGCCGAAAGGCCAGCAAGCGTTGCTTCTGTATCAGCATTTGTCGGGACGAGCATTAGTCGAGTCTTGAAAGCTCAACGTTGATGATTTGGCTGGGAACACTGGGCTCCAGACCTTCAGAGCTTGGATTCAAGAGAGGTACCAGGAAGTTGAAGTTTCGAAGTTTTCTGAAACCTTTACCGCTTTCTTCTGACGACTCAAGCGTCGGCCTGGACAAACCACACGTGAATTCAACTCTGCCTTTGACAGAAGCCATTCCCGACTCCTCGAGATAGGCTGCCGTTTGCCGAGGGTGGCCAAGGCATGGGCGTATCTCAGCGCCCTGGGACTCACCAGGTCTGAAGAGCTGGCCTTGTTGGACTCAGTCGGCAACGACTGCAACACCACAACGCTTCAGATGGCTGCGGTGCTTCATGACATGAGAAGTCATTGCGTCAACTTTGGCAACCTCGACAGGGCTTCGTTCCGATGGAAAGGGGGTAAGGCTACCTACTTGACCGGGGATGAAGTTGATGAGGGTGACGAGGGCAAGCAGGATGACGATGACGAATCTATGCCCGAGGAGGAGGTGGTCGTTCTCCACGAGGCCTATGTAGTGCAGGAAACAACGAAAGCTAAGTACCGTGAGGTCGCTAAGGCTAGTGGTGTTGATCCTCGTGTCGTGCAAGACAACCGTCCTTGCATCAAGGACAACAAGCAGGCGCTAGAGGACCGTGTATCGTGAGGTGTTTGAGTTGTGCTTTCCTGCTTATAGTTTGTCATTGGGTGCTTGCATCCCCAACACCACATGGCACCATTGATGGACCCGATTCGCTTGCAAGATGGAACATTTTGCACACCAGCATGCCATGCAAGGCCTCGGTTGTACGCTTGTGGAGTGCTGAAAAAGCTAAAAAGTTATGCAGTTATGCAGTCTCTGTGTGTGCGCGCGGGAGTGGATGTGCGTATCAGTGTCGGTGTGTGTGTGTGTGTGTGCGTGTGTGTGTGTGTGTGCTTGTGCTTGATAAGGTAACCCATGTTGGCCGGACTGCCGAGATCCGTCCTGGCACGCTCCGAGGATTTAGTTTGCGGGCATATCTTTGTGCGTAAGGTTCCGGGCATGAGGACGTATAATGTCATTTGTTTCAGCAGTCAAGAACAGAAGACGACACCGTGCAGGAAAGGTCAGGGTTCGGGAGTATTTCGAATCGGTGGCGGGGGCAAACCTGGCCAGCTATGGATTTGCAAGCTCCAATCCTAAAGTACTACATTCACTAAATAATAACTTGCGGCTTTGCAATAGACCTGGCAATTTTCGGGATGCTTGTTTTGTGAACGTACAGTTTTCGATGGGCTGAGTAGTTTTCCTTCGGCCGGCGAACAGAGACCTTTGGCTTCGTGCTTACGGGTATTCTGCAGCAGGAGTTCGACCCTGGTGGAATCTTGCTTTGAATTACCGGCTACTGAACTACTGAATGGCTGGTCAAGCTTGTCGAAGGCAGTGCGAAAGAGTAAGGAGTCAAATCAGTCCATTCAGAATTTATCCGTGCACTCCAACACTGCATGATACTGCATGTAATGCACCGTGCTATGCACACTTGCGAACTCTGACCACGTCACAAAGCCGGCCATGACAGGATTGGAAACCGGCAGTCAACATTAGTCCCTGTGGTTCTGGTTGTGACACGTTAGGAATCTTAAAGCCACTGGTACGCCTGACTTTTTTTGTGCAAAGACCGTCCAAATCATGCCCAAGTCTCGGAAACTGCCGCTTTTCGTCGAGCACTGAATTGGGTTTGGAGAGGCAGACACAGAGTTCCCTCGCGCTCACAACCCCACAACCTAATTCCCGAGCAGTATCCCCCGATAAACCCCATCCATGTTTTCCGCAAGAGTAATACGAGCTCTAGACGCTAGCTAGACATTTAGCAGCAACCTTGACGCACGGAATTCTCAACTGTATTCACCAGGTTCCACCTGCACATTTTGTGTTTTTCATCATCTGCCGTAGAAACTTCTGAGAAACATTACCGCCGGATAGCTTGTTTGTCGTGTGTGTTAGATTCCGTGTGTTTGTTCGCAGAAGTCTTAGGTCACTGTTGTTTTGTATTGTTGTGAGCACAGACAGTGTAGATATCGTTGCTATTGTTTTTCTCGGTTCGTCTCAGAGCGAGCCTAACTTCCAAAAGTCTTGAAACCTGAACTCTGAACCCCAAGCCCGAAGACTTGAGAGGAGTTCGGAGATACCGACCCGGGCCTAGCAAGCGCGCGACGAGCTGCGCGCAGCCAAGCTCGGCTTGCAGAGGCCTTCGGCAGGGTGGAAGCCCATCTTCTTTGGGGTGAAGCGCACAAGGGTTTAAGGATTTAGAGGATTTTTCGGGCGTCAGGGTTGAAGGCTTTAGGTGTTCTATAGGGGTTAGGATTAGTGAGTGCGATGTGCGTGCGTTCTCTACGGGCTGCATTGTCTAAGTTATATGTTTTTTTATGTGATGCTTTTGTTTTCCATTGTTGAATGGGCTTGCGGCTTGCCACTGGTCATTGCGGTGATTTAAGTCTTCAGGGTGTCGAGTCTTAAGTAGGGGCCGTAGCACTGGTTGCAACAAGCAAGGTTTGAAATGCTCCCGCTGAGTGAGGAAGGGGAAGTTGACGTCTCGGTGATGCGGCGACTGCCAAACACAAGCACATGGTGCCCACCAGCTTGTCCAGCAGCTGGTCTCCGTCGACGAGACACTGCGAAATGACCATGACAAAAAAGAAAAGGAGGGAATTTTTCAGTGATCTGCCTGATCTGCCACGCCAGAGGAATGTGCTCGGGCCACGGTTGCTAAGTCCTACATACACTTCAGATCGAAGATGCTTTCTTCGAGGGGACTTCTTTTCGGTGGTGTCTTTAAGCGATTTTTGGGGGGATGTGTAGTAGTATAGTGCTAGCCCTGCATCCAGGCCCCTCAGAGGTTGTCTTATCCATTTAGGTTCATGTGTAGCTAAGGATTTTGGACGTCCTGAGCGTAATGACATGGCATTCAGAAGTCTGGCGATCTGGGGATATTCTAGGCTAGAGAAACCTCGCACCTTGTGTGCAGATTTCGGGGCACCTCAGTCAGTGCAACTCAAAGCCAAAGAAACCGATTTTCCCGGGGAGCCTTGCGAAGTCATACATGGACATGAACATGAGCGATGGTACTGAGACACATCATGTGTTGTGGGAGTTCGTTATGTGTCAGTCCCCAAGGTTCGCAAGCGTCGGTCAGGTTCTGTATTGGTTTATTGATTAAGTAAGTTATGCAGTATGTGCACTTGCTTAGAATCCTCGCCACGAGGTGCAGCCTTCGTCGCCGTCGCATCGCTGAGGCGCAGCAGCTTTGATGTTTAGGTGCGAGTACATCATGAATGTAACATCTCTGCAGCTGGCATACCAAGCCACACGAATTCGGTCTCCAAAGTCCCTCATGAGCCTCGCACCACCCAGTTGATTGGCAATGCACTTTGTCGCTTTCTTGGATCCTACCTGAGAGCACTGGCTTGCGTTAGGTAGCAAGCATTCAGCACGGATTCGTTGTCCTGTTGAAGCGCGGCGTGATGTCACCAATGGATACACAGGGTTTGGCTTCGTCTAAAGGTTATGCTATGGTTCTGGTTCATGCAGCTGCATGCTTGTCCTCATGATTTTGGACGGTCTTCATGCTGATTTGAGGGAAGTTCATGATGCTGTTGGAGAGACTGATGCTGAAGAAGAGGATGGTGCTGTTGGTTGATGTTGAACAATATAGGGTGCCGATCATCAAGGCCTAATGGGCAAGTGCGGTAGTTGCTGTAGATATGTACAGCTTTCCGCGTTCAGGGCTTTGAGTCGGGATCGGGCGTAGCATGTATATTTTTATATTTATACTTATGTTTATGCATTTATTTATTTAGTTTTATTTATACATGTATTTGTTGACATGTTTTATGTTTTGTACTTATCACGGTGATTATAAGATGTGGAGTGCGAGGGCTGTGACAACCCACAACATGCTACCTGCTACCAACTGCCACCAACGACGACCACAATCACAACTACTACCACTGCCACTAGCACAACCACAACATCAATCACCCACAACAAACCCCCAAAGCACACTGCCAACATCACCAAATAAACATCATCAACAACAACAGCAACAACAACATCAACCGCAATATCGACAATAACAGCAGTAACAAAGGTAACAGCAACAACAGCGACAACAACAACAACATCATCAACTACCCCCCCGCACCAACAACTCAAAACTACCAACAGCTAACATCTACAGCAGCAACCAACATCAACCTCCACCACAACGCCACTAACGACATCAACTTCAACAGCGACAGCACCAACATCAACCAACAGCAACAACAGCAACAACAGCAACAACAGCAACAACAGCAACAACAGCAACAGCAACCAGCTGCAACTGCAACTGCAACTGCAGCAACAACAACAGCCGCAGCAACAGCCAACAGCTGCAACAGCAGCAACAACAACAACAACAACAGCAACAACAACATTTTCGATGACACTACCACCACAAATAGCACAAACACAACCAGCACCAGCACCGGCAGCAGCAGCAGCAGCAGCACCACCACCACCACCACCACCACCACCACCATCACTACTACTACGACTACTAGTACTA